GTGGAATGCTCTTAACATAGTTTTTATCACTTATTTTATTTTTTTGAACTGATGCCACAAAGAAGAAAATTCGTGAAATAGTCACGAAATGTAATCGATTGTTTCGTGTCCTGGGATGCGATTTGCCCGACTTTTTCGTGTTCCCCAGCACGAATTTCAAACCCGTACATTTCAATTGGAATTATCTTTCCCCTATTAGACAGCACATATACTGTGATGTTTTTGTCGTTTTGTTCTTCAGACAGTCAGGCATTAACCAATTTTACTGTAATGGCCCGTCCACGCTGCGTATTAACTCCAAATCCATTCAAATAGAAAAGACAAGAAATATATCCAGACAGAGTGAAGCTGTTCTGAGATCGCTCTGAAAGTGATCCCAACAATATTGTTCATCACTATTATCGTTGGGTTATTAAAAGCTATTAAAAAGTTGGGCAAATCGTGTCCCAGGACATGAAACCATAGATTAAATTTCGTGACTCGTTAACGAATTGCCGTGACACTGGGTTGCACAGGCACACAGTACACTATTTTACTACAAAGTGTTGGGATATTTAATTTTGTGAAAGCGCTGATAGCTTATAATTGACACTAGCATCATTTCATGTGTATCAATGTGTGAGTTGTACTGACCTTAAGAAGGGGAAAGAAGAATATATTCAGGCCAGAGAGATCAAACTCAGGGAGGTTAAGCCAGGTCAGATAGAAGGAATGCAGACACACACACACACCTATATATCAGTATTTTGCACCCACAGACATACCATCCCTCTATAAGCTAATAGCAGTTAAAACAAAGGAGAAGTATTGACATCCAGAGTCCAGGGGATGTTAGTGGGGAGGTTTTCCTTTACAGGACGTGGATGCTGTGGATTGGATGGATCAGGTGCCAAGAGATATGGACATATCTGTGCACCAACAAACTAAGTTTAAACCATGGCTCGTCCCCAACCTGATAGCCATTCACATTTCATTATTTAAATTCAATGTCTGGGGTTAGCTGCCAGTCACCTTCCACGATACTGAATAAGATGTTCATGCTTACATGAGGCTGCATCCATTGCTGAGGAAGCTGGTTACAGACTAACAACTTGCTGACTGGGATTTTCTGAATCAGAAGAAAGAATCCTTCTCAATGCAGCTCAGAGTTTTTTTTTTTTTGTTGTTTTTATTTTAATATATAATTTAATTAAAATCCTAATACATTACAATATATGTATTGCAATATTTTTTAAACTGATCCAGCCGAAGGTTCCTTTGAAGACGAGAGAGATCAACTGGGTGTTGACAAAAGCTTGATTATTCTCCTGTGTGGAGTCGCATGCAGACTTCTGCTGTTCTGTTGGACATGTGCAGAATAAGTAGATACAAGCGACAGTGTGGGTTTGTGGGTGTGTGGTGGGTTTATCAGAGCCACGGGTGACACCGTAGCTGCTCCAGCGTCGGCCGCTGCTCGGGGATCTCAGTGAAGCACATTTGCAGGAAATCCTTGCATTGTTCAGACAAGGTCCTGCTGAATGGCAGCTGTTTGTTGATTAACCTGTCGGTGTCGAATCGGTCGTTTCTGTGCAGCATGTCAAACAGCACAGCTCCGATCTGCCACACCGTGGTTGGACCAGCCCTGTATGTTTGGTGACTGTGAAACTCCGGTGGGGCGTGTTCAGGCGTCCCGTTGAAGACGTGAAAACAAGATGTGTCCTCAACAACGCTGCTCACACCAAAGTCAATCAGACGGAGACGAGGGACGTCTGAGCCAGTCTCAAGCAAGATGTTTTCATGCTTGATGTCTTGGTGGAAGACGTGGCTGTTCTCCAGGTGGATCGCAGCATCGATCAGCTGTTTCAAGATGATCTTTGCCTCTTCCTCCTCCAGTGAAGCTCCATTGTCCCAGACGTACCTGAGCAGGTCTTTGGAGGGGACTGGTCTCTCCAGGACCAGGATCAGCTCCTGGTCCAGGTCGAACCAGTCTAGTAGTTCAATAGGTGCTGATGCCCCTACTGAGCGAGGTGGTGCAGCTTGAAGTTTTAACATGGTGGCCACCTCTGTAGACAGCTGCTTACTGTTCTTCATCTCGCTAGTCTTTGGAATGTGTTTGATGGCAACTGGCAAACGATCTGATTTACGGTAGCCAGCAAACACGTATCCATACCCTCCTGCACCGAGATGGCACTGCTCCTGATATCTGGCTTCAAATTCAGCTCTTTGCTCCTCCTTGTCATTCTCCACCACCAGGTCCAGGTTCTTTCACTTCTTATTGCTCGGTCCCTCTCCAGCATCAGTGGCCTTCCTCTTCACACCCTGGCGCTGCTTACTGCTGCCCTCTACAGGGTTGCTGCTCTCTCTGATGGTGTAGAGAGCTCCACTCGACTCTTCAGAGGAGGAGTCTGAAATGACTTGGACTGTCCTTTCCTTTTTAGAGTTGGTGGACGGTTCAGCCAGCTCAGAAACTCTTCTCCTTTTATTGCTGGCTGTTGGTTCAGGACTGGCCTTTCTTTTATGGCTTCTGGTCCCAATGTCCTTTGAAGATCCAGTATTTAGATGTAGTGGACTGGGATCTAATTCTCCACTAGAATCTTCAGAGGAGGAGTCTGAACAGACAATGACACTCCAGATCCTCTTGTTGGTGTTGGATGGTCCTCCTCATTCTTCCTGGACTGTCCTTTTGCCTCCTCTTTCCTTCTCAGAGTTGGTGGACTGTTCAGCCAGCTCAGAAACTCTGCTCCTCTTTCTGCTGGCTGTTGGTTCAGGACTGGACTTTCTTTTGAGGCTTCTGGTTCTAATGTCCATGGGAGATCCAGTATGTAGTTGTACTGGACTGGGCTCTCCATCTCTCCTAACAGCTGGACAGCTGTTCTTCCTTTTAGTCACTTTGCTCATGTTGCTTTCCTTAAATTTCGAAATTTGAAATATTCAGCAAAAACAATGTGTGTATGTAGCCAAAGCTTATGTGCTTGTGTGGACTCTCAGCAGGCAATTTAAGGTTTTTTGACTGGAATGTAGAATGTAGTTATTTATTAATTAATTCATTCGAATTAATTCACTCTGGAGTCCAAGCAACCTCAAAACATAGGTAAATAGCCAAAACACAACATTTATTTATCCGTAAATGTCTTCTGATTAAGCTAAAGGAACACACTAGTGTAGAACTGCGATGGAACAGTTCTCCAATGAACAGGAGTATTTGCAGTAGAATTTATAATGATCTCACTTTTTGTTTCACCACTTTCTAAAACGAGCACTTATTCGCCTCTTTTTCTAGGTCACGTCTAACAAACAGCCTCACAGATATGAGGTAAGTGGGACAAAATCTTATCAAATGAGGCGGGCCTCAAGCCTGATGTGTATCTGTTAAAAGGTTCTGAAGTGAAAGAAAGGCAGAAGGAAGGGAAACTTTTGTACACACTTTCGCAACGAGTCTGCAAATATCTTTTGTGGAAGAATAACAGTCGCTCCTGTGCGCAGATCGGTTTGGATTCAGGAGTGCACTTCACCCAGCTGGAGTCATTCATGCATCTTGCTCATGCTTGGGATTTTGAGGCAACACAGAGACCACCCACAGAAACCAAGAGAATGATTTGCATATGGCAAGTTTTCTTGAAGAACTGTAGCATTCCTATAGAAACACATTGATTTTAGGATGTATAATTATAAAACATCTGCTTTTTTGTAACAGAAAAACATAGAGATACCAAAATGAGTCATTAAAAACAGAACCTTTTAAACATAAAGTGCTCAAATAAGCCCAATAAGGTTGACTTCAGTCAGCCATAGGCACAATAAGTCACTAGAACAATCCCACAAAGCTTTGTACCACCCACTATTTCCATTACAGTGAATGGACATGTAGTAAGCCACTAGCTAATCAACCATTCCACCCCCTCAGGTGGAAAAAAAATAACTTTCCCATCATTCACCTCTTTCTGTTACCATTCAATAGAAAGAAAAAGAAAAAAAAAAAGGTCCCTTCAATTAAGCGGATTGCCCGAACGGATCGATATTTGCCACCGATATTGACGAGGAAAGCAGGAGCAAGAGGTCAAACGGGTCCATAGCCCTCCCTGGATCCCCCGCCTTAATCAATAAACTGATTCTATTTACACCTCGTGCGTCAGACGGCGTTCACCACCTCCGTTCTGCTCACATGGATTGTCACAAAGCGCGTTGCCAGCGCCGAACCACAGGCATTTACATAATCGCACATCCTGTCAGAGCCGAAGGGGTGCAGCGTATCAGCAGGATATCTGAGTGTCGGCGAAGGGAAGTCTCAGTGAAGTTCAGCTTAAAATGTGTCAAAAGCTTTAAAGGATGATACCCAGCAGCTTTGACAGGTCATTCCCACACTGCATGAAATGGAGTTCACGCCGAAGCCCTGACCATCATTTAACAGAGGGTTTGCGCTATTGAGAGACATGCTATATCCATTTAATGCACCAAAAAAAATGTTAATGTTTGTTTATCTGTGCTTCATTGATTTGCATATTAATTCCCCGGAGACTTCCCAGACCTTAACCTCCACGATGCTACAAAACATTTCAGCCGAAGCTAAACGCAGTCGCGATTTAAAAAAAAAAAAACGCCTCTTATGTCGCTAATTAGATGCACTGTCCAACTTTCAAAGAGTTTCGAATCCAAAAAACTGGTCCTAAAATGTGACACAACACGCACGAAAATACAAATACAGTAAAAAAAAGAGCTTTTAAAGCAACAACAGCCACATTTGGCAGCTCGGTGCTTATTTCAGAGGTGAGACTTTGTGAGGAGGTTGTCTCAGTGTGCCTTAATTTATTCCCCAAGGAAAGTGTATTTATAATGATCTCACCTCCCTCATTTACTGGTCTGTAGTAAATAAATGTATGACTCCCTGGGCTTTTAGACACCACATAGCGCCACAACACAGTTTGTTAAGAGTTCAGGCTTTCAAAGAGCAGGCAGGTTGTGCATAGATTAGATTTGCAAAGGTATAAAATCTGGAGTTGGGGAGGTGATTGGACGCTGCAGGGCATCGAAATAAATACCGAAAGAAACATCCAATGAAGATTTAGTGTTTCCTGTGTTGAGAACCATCAGAAATATTGTGATTGAGAGTCCTAAAATAATTAATATGTAATTAACTTTCATGTCCAGTGAAGAGATCGCAGCTGATTGTCGTTAGACTGGAACATGTAGACATTGTTTACATGTTGTTGTTGTACAGTTAAACAAATAATGTCTCATGTTACATATGTGATGTGACATACTCATAAATGAGCTTTAGAGGTAGATTTCGGTAGATGTCGATAGAATCATGCCTGCTGCTATCCTGTTTCTAATCATTATGCTAAGCTAAGCTAATCATCTGTAGCATTAAATGTAATGGACAGATGGATAAGAGTTGTATTAGCTTTAGAAATGTGTAACTTGGAATGATCTGAACAACTGCTTTCAAAGTTTGTTTTATACTGACAAGTCAGAATAAAAGCTAAAGGTATTTGAGGTTGGTATTGAGGTTTTTTTAGAAGTTATCTGTAACAGGTTTGTGGCCAGTTTTGCTTTATGTGTTTGTATGCTGGGTAAAAACACTTACAGTGTCCTGCTAACTTCTTGTGTGCTATTCTTTATTGGAGGCAAGGCGGTAAAGAATTTGCAAAAACACACACACACTGAGCTTCATCCTTTTCTCCTTTGAAACGGAAACACAACTGAAAAGAATTCCCATTAATCAGAAATCTCCCCTTTGAGTTTCTTTTCAAGTGGACTCATCGTTGCCGCTTGCAAACGCTGCACCACAGGTTAGTTTCTGCCCTCTAGCCTCCACAATGAGTCCATTATGAAGGTCGCTCACTCATCTTCATCCATCCGTCGCTACTTTAAGCACAGCAGCAAAGCAGCAGTAAACACAAAGTACGGCTGATGTTGATGTCATTAGCTTTGAGTTTTTGAATGACTTTAACTTGAAGATGGTGCTAAGTTTAATGTAAGGTGATCACCGAGGGGAATAATTCAACCTGATCGGGACATGAATGTTGAACCAAATTTCACAATAATCAATTTATTAGATGAGAAGTCAGGGGATCACCAAAGTCATGCTCTGGACATCACAGATCTGTACAGAACTTTAGGGTAATATACCAAAGTAGTAAACCAACCACCACCCAGATGCTCCTCAGAACAACTTCAGTGTATTTTTTTATTTTTTATCCCCACAGCTGTACATTTTTTAACTTACATCTGATACCTGATGTATGGGTGGTACGTCTGATGTAGGTTTTCACCCAATGTGGATGTTACCAGTCCATTAGACAGCTGTGTGTACTGAAGACACCAGTAGGTGGCAACAAGCCTTAAGAAAAATGGCCACATTCATAAAATCTTTAGAACGCATACTAAATATACGCGTCTCATATCTAGTGCTTATTCCTGTCAGCCAGCTTGTTCGTATCTCAGGGTTTCCTTCCAGCTAAGACATGACTTCTCTCTCAGTACCTGAATTACATGCTCAAGTCTGCAATTAATTCAACCTTTGATCCACCAATTTCCCATTATCCCAATATAAGCTTTAATTATAGTGAGAGGGATTTAAGAAGATCTACTTCTTTAAAAAATCAATTTATATGCTGGACCAGTGGTAATTAGTAAGCATGTACGGAGGGTATTGCTAGTTGACCTGCAAGAAAAAAAGAGCAGAAAAAGAGTGAGATGATCAACTGGTAGAAAGAAAAAAAATATCAAAAAAAGCAGAATTAACAAAGGAAATCTCCAAATATCCAATTAGGGAACAAAACTCACTGATGCTCTGGTTAGTCAGCAAATTAGAAACACATCTCCATGGCATTGGAAGCATTACAGACTTGAATCCAAAC